TAAATAGAGTCTGTAATGATTCTTAAATTAAATTTTAAATATAATGATCGAATGGAAAAACATAAAACCTTGTAAATAATCATTTGCAAAATCATGAAATGTTATCTCTTCATATAATTTTATATTCTCTAATTTCTTATTTTAATGATTTTTCTCCTTTCATAACTAAATACTTAATGGAAAGTACTTGCCTTTAAGATCTATTATGAGAAAATATACCATAAGAAACTATCTTCTGAAATTTTACTAACAAACTCTTAGTTCATATATTCATTTAAGGGATATCCTACTGATTATTCCAATAATGAAACTTTATTTTTCCTTTTCTCTATTTCTTATTTAATATTGATTTTTTTAATTCTTCCTTTAAACATAATTGAACAGAAAAACGATATAATTAATAATAATACATCAAAATATTATCAAATACAACTTTATCAGGATCAATTTCTTTGCTATTGAATTTAATTCATAAATAGTATTTGCAAGTTATTTTGATTAATATGTTTTTAATACCTTTTAATCCAATATAACATATTCTGATAGGATCATTTTTGTTGATTTTATGTATAAAATAAGCTTATTAACATTGAAAAATTTTGATACCTTAAAAGCATTACCAAATAAACCATCAAAATTTGGAATTAATGTAAATTACTATTAATAAATTATATTCATACTTAGTGTTTCTATGAGACCAAAATTAACACTTAAAATATTTATATAGCCTTTTATTTAATTTTCTGTTGATTCTTCATTTAAACTTATAACATTTATTTATCTAATACTTAAAGTCTCATTAAAACGAAGAACAACAATAATTTCAGAATCTGAATCAGATTATGCATAATGATCCTATATATAATATTCAATATTTATTAAAATATAAACTATGAGACCAAAAACGAATAAAAAGGGTTTAATTTCATATGCAAAAGTACCAGGAACAGGATAAAATGAATAATTACCAGCTACTTTTAATCAAATATAATTTTTTTGAACAAATTTCATTTTATAAATTTATAAAATATTTATTAGAAATAAACAATCTTCAATATGTATCAATGAAGAAAGTAGATATCCAATATAAAAATACAGTAATTCATGTGCCACTTTATTCAATCCAAAATCCTCAAAGAGATTTAATAATGATTATTCTTTTAACTATCATATAAAAGGAAGTGTTGATGAGTAAAGAAATATATACATTGATTAATAAATAAATAAAATAAAATAAAATATATCAGAAATCATTTGTTCCTCTCTCTTAGTCCCCTGATTATATATTGATTTTAAATTATACCAAATAAATAGCTTCATATATTTAAAATATATTAATTATTTATTTTCTATTAAATGATTTACATACTTAAGTGATTAGTGCACATATTTTGCCTGAATACCAAAAAGTAAGAGGAGGGGATATTTCTCTGTTCCCAACAGTTGGAGAATATCATTGATATTATTTTAATAATATTCTAAGTTAAGACTAACTTATCTGCAAAATGAGTTCTAAAGTTCCAAAATTATAGTTAATTAATCAATGTCATCAAATAATACACATTTTGGTACTTTGACTAATGATAATGAAGTAATATTTGAGTGGAAGAATGAAATGAATTAATAAATTGGCTTATCTGTGTCATTTGATTCAGCGTTAAATTGTTATAATATCCTTTTGTCTCAAAATTTTACTATTGTTATAGATTGCTATTATAATAATGAATTCTTATTAATTCAACTTTCTGATGAATAATCAAAAATTGCTTATTCAATAGAATCTATTCAACCTACTTAAACTAAAATAAAATCAATTATAAAAGGAACAAATGTTTTATATTATATGCCTAATATGATACGGATTATTCAATACTTTTACTATTTTCATCAGCTTTTTGTAATTAAAGTAGTTTAAATAATTAATTTGTCGATTTCGATGTCACTATTGCAATAAGCCCTAATATTTATGCGATAATATTTATTAGATGTTCTAATTATCTATATCTCCAGATGCTCAAATTTATTAAAAAACTAATTTAACCTATTCAGATTCATATTCTTTTAGAACTGTTAATGTTTATTATAATTATTGGAGTTATTCTTAAGTTGATTCAATTTTTTAATAATATATATTTCAAGACTATGGTAGAATATCTTTTCTAAGGATTTGATAATTAAATAATATAATTTAATGATTATGATACTATAACAACCTTTCAAAATATCGTCTAAAATAATCAATTTATAATTCATTAGTTTACTGATACAATTTTAATTAATAAAATGCTTAGGAATTATGAATACTGGTTTAATAAGACAAGTAATTCTTTATTATATTTTAATTCTCATAATTAATTATAACTATATTGTTATAGCATTTAATTTATATCATTAGAAGTTAACTTAACTAATTAAGAAAAGGCAGGAAATAATTATACCTTTTCAATTATGTGTATTATTATAGGTATAAATGGTATTAGATAAAATTACACAAAAGCTAATTTCTTCATGTAATTCTTAACCAAGAATGATAAAAATATATATATGTAATGTTTGATTAATACTTGAAAAATATGGAGCAGTTTACTTTTCGGAGATAATCTCTCTTCCAGGTTTTTCAGGATAATTATTATAATTTAAAGTAAGGCAAGAAAGAATACCTTTAAATTTTACATCATTGGTAGAATAAAAAGCTGGTAAACTTAATTAGAGTTGTGATGAGGTTATGTTAAAATGCATTATTGAAGCTTAAAAGATTATTCCGCCTTTGCTAAAAATAAAAAAACCATGCGATTCTCTTCCAGGAAATTTTAATGCCTGCCTAATTACACCTCAATGAAATATTCTTAACCTGAATAT